TGTGTGTGTGTGTGTGTGTGTGTGTGTGTGTGTGTGTGTGTGTGTGTGTGTGTGTGTGTGTGTGTGTGTGTGTGTGTGTGTGTGTGTGTGTGTGTGTGTGTGTGTGTGGATTTAGGCATGGCTGAATGGACATTTGTAAGTACATGTGTGCGGGTGGATGTGTACTGGTTTGTGTGGGTGTATGATCCAACCATATATGTACATGGATACGAGTGGACATACGCTTGAGTACATGTGTGTGGGTGGGTACGTACTGGTTTGTGTGGGTGTGTGATCCAACCACATGTACATGGCTACGAGTGGGCATACGCTTGAGTGCATGTGCGTGGGTTTGTACTGTGTAGGTGTGTGAATTTGCCCATATATTACATATGGCTACGAGTGGGCACACGTGTGTGCTTATGTGTGTGTGTGTGGATGTGTACCAGTGCATATGTGTGGGCGTGGTGTGGGTATATGTGGATGTGTGAACTTATCCCTGCATATACGTGGGTGCGAGTGAATGTGCGTGAGTGCATGCACGCTGGTACACTTGTGTGGGTGTACGCATAGACGTGAGGCTGCATGGATGCGGGTGTGGGGGTGTTTGTGAATGCGTACACGTGGGTGGATGTGTGGGTGTATACGTGGTTTTGAGCCCCTCTTTCGTTTTATCTATCAAGCTTGAAAATGAACAAAAAATATGCTGAAGGAAATTTCAAATTGAAGCACTTAATATTAGTTTCAGACTAGATTGTGCAACAAATTTCAAAACATTTTGCATTTGCTCTGTTTATCAGTTGCCATCATAACGATTTATAATGTCTGATCAAAGAACGGTAAGTGATTCACAAAAATTTCAACAATTGATTTTTTGATAAAAATTAAGCCAAAATATAATCAGTTAGAGAGAAAGAGAAAAATGGTAATGAATAACCGGTATGGTTTTTTTTTTTTTTGTATTTTTTCACTGCACTCGTGTATTGGTTGTTTTCTATTCAATGGTCTTGCAATTTTCTGATTTTAAAGTAATTTTTTAATTCTATTTCATTTTAGAAAGAAGACTGATAAGATTTGAAAAATTCATTTAGCAGAATTACAGTAATTTTGCAAATGTTATTTTGCAAGTTTTTTTTTCTTTTTTAGGTCATTTGTTTCTTCACACTTTTCCTTACTGTTTATTTTTTGGAATCAATTGGTGGCTTCTTTATGTCAAGGTTTGTATTAAAAGTTAAATTTATTAAGAAAAAAACATTTGGAATTTAATAAAATAAACCTGCTAAGAGTTAACTCCTAAAAAAAAAAATAAAAGATTTAAAAATCAATAAAGCAAACTTCCTAAAGGTTAATTGCTAAAAAAAGAATCCGAAAATTCAATAAACGTTAATTAAACAAAAGCGCTGAAATTCAATAAAGTAAACTTGTTAGGGATTGAGTAAAAAAAATCAATAAAACAAAAATTAATGACTAATAGTTAACT